ATACGCCAAGATTTACGTAATAACGAAAACATTCATTTTTCTAACTTCACTACTAAGTTTCATCCTTCCTTCGCCTTCTTTAACTTAACGTAGAATCTCTAACTTCTGCTACACGAATGATTCATGTTCTAGGTAATAAATAACATCCCAAATATTCCGGGCTACTAGAGTTCACGTATTAATGGAACTACGAGACAAAAATAGTTACAACGGAGTCCACGCATTGATTGAACTCCAAAAAAGAAGACAATTCTGATAACCAAAAGGAGAACACAATAAAAGGAACTTAAGAAGAAACAATAACGCTCAAAGTGGATGACGTGTAATAACCGAAAATTAGGACTATCAAATTATACACGAATCTGATGAAGAATCTTCGATCGCCATAAAACATTCCTTCGTATTTAAAAGATCAAACAACTCGAGCCAGCAAAAACACTTGGCCACTTCAAGAACGAGTCGCGTTCTATGCATCATCCAACGTCCAAACAACCAGCCACCCAGGTAGAACCGATCTAAAAGCAAGGCCCTGGAGCTTTTTTCTCTACCTCTCTCTCTTTCTCGCTCCCACGTCTGCGCATTCGCGATGACATAACTCTTCCGAAAGCCAAAATAAAGAGACGCTTTCCGCGGGCACACGTGCGGCCGCGGATAAAAAGAGTCTCCGCTTGGTCTCGTGGGAAATCTACAAATCTCTTGGCGAGCCGCTGGATCGAGGGAGAGCCTGGTGGAATAACGGAGTCGAAACGGGGCAGCACGTTCTTCCACGCGGAGATTCGTGATCGAACGGCAGGAGGGAGAGAAGTTCGACGGATGGTAGGAGCGTGGATCGGTCAGTCCTTGACACATTTCGTACGGTGGCGCCAAATTGGTCGCCGTCGACTGGGCGGCAGCCTCTAGGCTGACCGTTCGGAACAAAACGAGGAAGGTACAAAGGAACGAAGACGACGGGACTAGGGAGGGAAGTGAATCGTTTCGATCACGATAAGGAAAATTTATCGTAATTGAAGGTAGTAAGAGCGAAGTTAGTACATTCTCAGCCGTGTATGCCATTGATGGTGTACGATAAATGTCAAAGATAGGGATCTTTCTTGTTATGGCTGCCTGTGTTCGATACTTAAGAACGAATGTTAGTTTTGTTGGCCTCAAATTAGAGATATCACAATGAATTCGTATGTAAAAGAATGTTAGAGGAATTATTGCAAACACGTGGTGAAGAGGACATCTCTTTTGACCTTTTTGTAAGTGGAAATGATTGTTTTATGAATGTAGAGTTCACGAGATCAGAATAACTTGTTTTACACTTTTTATTTATGCAGTTACTGAAAATATTAAGTAGCAGTTATGTACTTTAATTAACATCAATGATGTATATTATATATAGCTATACATTACAGGTCAGTGGCTATGATGTCAATCAAGAATAAAGCCAACGTATCAAAGAATCAAGCAGCAAAGGGAATAATTGGAACAAAATCTTCAAAAATTCAAGAGTCCAGAATTAACCTAATCTAGGTCTACTAACGCCTCCACAGAATACTAGATGATCAGTGTCATCACGTACAATAAGCTCTAAGAAGGATCAAAATGCCAAAAGTATAATAAGATATTTTTCTCGATACTTATTTTCCTACAATGAGATATACTAAGTAAATTTTTCACGTCTTTCATCCTGACATTTCTATTCATCAAACTTCTTCGTTTTCTTAGAGATTATTAACAAGAAAGAAGAATCGACACCCAGTCGACATCGATCAACACAAGTCGAGTCTCCAAGCAACAACAAGAGAGTAGCAAGAGGAAAGTGGCGGGCCGACGAGTAAGAGGGAAAGGAAAATCAATGCCAGGCAACGTGCGTTGCAAGGTGAAATCAAAGGAGCCCGGACCAGCACCCTCCTCTTTCTCCTTCGACAGAGGAAGCCTGGTCGATCCCACTGGTGGCGTCGTCGTTGCAAGGGATGCCAACCCTCCTATGTAGCCCGGTCGGAGACCAAGAGAAAACCATAACCCGCACAACGGTCCACTTTCGAGACCTCGCTGAATCGGAATATAACTATCGAGCTCTCCCTCCTGGCCCGACCACTTCCGTGGTGACATGATTTCTCGCGTTCCCGCCTCGTGTTTTGACTCTTCACTCTCGGTTTCACGGGCGACGTTTAAAGACGACCTGCCTGCTGTTGCTGCGGCTTGAATTATTTATGGTGATCGAGAGTTTCGATAATACGGAGCATACGGGATCCTACTGTTTCAATCGAGTCATCCTTCGAGGATTATTCTACTGCGAGAAGTGGAGGATTCAGGAACAAGGTCGATTTCAGGCTCTTTTTCCTTGACTAAGGTTTAGGTCGATTGATTCGTATTTTGGGACAGTCCCATTGGTCGAGTTTTAAGAGAATAATAATGTAACGAGATAACGGTAGTTCGACGAAAAGTAATTTTGTGGATTTCAAGGAAGAATCGCGCGATGAACCAGATACCGTTTGATAATGCATGTACACGAGAGGATTGTTATCGCGACGACTTAAGACTCGTGTGTACCGATGTCTAATAAGCAAGGGGGAGCATGGTGTACGGAGAGCTCCTCCTTTGTTATTGTAAGAGCTAACGCGATAAGTCAATTCTAAAAGCTGTATTAATCGAATAATAGAGAATTGTGTCGTGTTCGAGGTACTTGCGAATGGGTATTCAAATTTGTTTGAAAAATTAATTTAAGGCGAATGATGTAAAATGTGTTTTCCTTTCACATTTTATTATTATAGATAATGACTGTTATACCTCGACTGTCTGTAACTAAAATTTTGTTAAATAGTATATATATGATAAGTAATGTAAAATTTGTAATTAAGACTATAGTGATATAATATAGTAATATAAATCTAAATTATAATAAGAATTCGATACGTGTAAGATTTTTATTGTAATTTATTCACGAAATAAATAATTTATTAATTTACGTGATGAGTAATATGTCTTCCTAATTAATTCTCTATACCAATGTGACGACAAATATAGATATAGTTCTGTAGTTCGATTCAATGGTTCCTACGTCGTAAAAAAACCCAGTGGTTAAACTCGATATCTCAACGGCCTCTTAAAGCACCATCTTCTGCTTTAAGAATAGAAGTTTTCATATACAATAGGCTAATATTTAAAACCTAACCTCCAAGGAGAGGTAATAATATAAAAACAACCGATTATTCGGAAACAATGTAAATTATAAAAAAATAATGCTCCACGTGTATTCACGATTAAAATCAACCCCAAATTGTCCGAATTAAGTAACCGATAATTCATTTAACGCGTCAACATAACGTCGATCATCTCTATATAGTCACGTAATAACAGCGATAAGTAACCTCTTTCGAAAACAAGATTGCGTTCCACCAAAATGTTTCATTGACCGTTTACGTTCAAATCGAATCACGCACAAGAAAGAGACAAACAGTAAAATGCATCTATATTTCACACCCAATAAACAAAATAAAAAGAACTTTAGTCCATCTCCACTAATTGAAATTTATCGATAACTACACCGCAATTAAATAAACGACAATTCATTTAACCTAACCATTCTATTCAATAACAATCTTTTACCGTGACAAAAGTTTTATGAAAATAATTAACCGTTCTTCTCTACTGCAATCTGTATCCTCTGACGAAAAGACAAACAGAAAAAAAAGGAAAAAAAAGGAAAAAAAAGGAAAAAAAAATATGGGTTGCGGTGCGAGGCACGAACTCGTCAAAGGCTAGCCTCTCTCGCGAAGCACACAGAACGGCGCATATATACGTGCACGCGCGGCGACGCTTGGCCCTTGCCTCGTAGTTGTGCACACAAACGGCCTGGGAGCACGCAAACCTTGCGCGTTCACGAACTTTTGGCGGCACGTGCACTCACACAGAGCCAGCCCGGCGGCTGCACACACGCGCGACCGCCCCTGTCCGTGCACGCACGCATTCGTTTATTGATTGGTGCGTGCCGCGGTAGGCTCGGCTCTACAAATTTCGGCGCCCCGCTACGCGCCCAAATACGCTCACGGTGCATTCGACTTGACCAGTGGTGAAATTCTACAACTACCAAAATTTTCGACAATTTCTTATCGGTATTTTCGATAATTAACAACTGCGTTTAATTGATCGACCTTTTGCGAATTTTTTTTAGCAATTGAGCGACAGGTTGTTTGGCTGATATTTAACCTTCGGGATGTTTAGACAGCATGAATCAGGGTAAATAAGGGTTAATAGCAATTAATCAACAGTTTAAGTTAACACTGTCACGTACAAAAGAATTCAATAATAATCATACAAAACAGCAAACCAAGTCGTATTCCAAAGAGAATCTAAAGATCTCGGTAACGCCCAGGTATTTTACGAATCAGATTCCCGTCGAAATTTTTTCAAAACTGGTAGAAATTACAGGTTTAGAACTCGAGGATCTACGAAACGATTCCTTACACATAATTGAATTTCCTGCAAAACGGTTTACACTTGAGGCAATTACGAATGAAACACACCCGTGCTACATAAGTATGTCCTTAACTGAAAGTTGCTAAAAATATGCAGCTAAAAATTTAATCGTTCCGCAAACAAAACTACCGACGTATAACACAAGGAGCCATCGAGGCACCAGAATTAATCATCGGCCGTTGTAAAGGTGAAAAAAAAGAACGGCAACTAAGTGACACTGTAAACACGGCCAGCAATAAAAGTAAAAATAGAAAAGAAACCTACGATGAAAAAAAGAAGGGTAAACCTAACGACGAGCACAAATCATAATAACGACGATGATGTATCGTCGGGGATCAAAAACGAGATCACGTTGGTTTGCGATTATCGAACTTGACGCGAACCACGGAAACGTACTATGTAATTAATAAATTCGTTTGGATCCCTCGCGAAACGAGAACCGATAACGCGGCGTTCTGTTACAGATAATTTTCGAGCTGCTCGTATATCTCTTCTCCTCCTCCTCTCCCTACTTGTGAGTCTAGCGGCCGGTCGCATGAAATACGTCGAATTCGACCGACATTGCGGAATCGCGGGCGCTGCAGTAAATTTGCACCCACGCCTGGCTGTCGCCCAATTCCACCCGGCCTATCCCCACCTCGCGGCCCAAAAATATACGCGAGCGTGCCGCTATCTAGCGGCCGCGGATCGAAACTTACGTAATACTACGCGCATGTAAATCGCGCATGTTGCGCGGCAACGCAACATGCGTCTTTCCTGATGTCCGATGCGATTATGCCAGAAACAAACACGAATAATTTGTACTTTATTGCTTCTATATTTGAGTTATACAGTTCTCGAAGTATTTATTTTGGAGAGCTATTATAGACTTTATTACACGAGAGGGAAAATGATAGGAGAAATTGAAACAGTGATACAGTTGTAAAGGAAATAGGTTATAACCTCAATAACTCCACAATATTGTAACTTTTATTCTTCAATAAAAATATAGAGAAATACCTATCTGTGTAATAAATCAAATCCATAATCTATCGACTTTAAAAAAGTAATGCTTGAAATTTAAGAAGTAAAAATTCGAGATGTTTTAGAAGCTTCATTGAAGATTACTACAACCTCTATTACAGAATATTTCTTTGCTCGTACGACTAATATCATTGAGCGTTCGTCTGTACTATAGGTTCAAATCGTGGGTCAGGGACGAAATGGAACGTGTAAAAGAGATAGATACAGGAAGGGAAAGGACATCGAGGGAGGGAAGCAAGCCAGTACAAGAGGAAGGGAATAAGGGTTGAGGATATTTCAGCGAAGATAGGGTTACTCATTGTGCGTAGGAGGGTAGCGTCAAGCTAACACGGCAGTCCGTTGTTTTATTTCTACTTGTCAGAGCAAGAAGCGTAGTAATAAAGCTTGCAGAAGGGTCGGGACATACCGTGCTCGTTTTGTCATAGTCGTCTTAGCTGACGAATAACAAAAATTAAAGCTGTTTCTCGTGGAATCGTGGATTTGCTCCAGAAAACGTATATTCTCTCTTGTATATGAGACGGAATATTAAGATTTAGGTTTAAATCTGAATATCTTCACAATGACAAACATGATCAAATTTTTGTATAAAGAACAAGGTTGCTGAATTGAGAAATTACATATTTCATAAATTTTGTGAAGACATTTAGATTTATATTACGGATGAATGAATAACGTTGCAAAGAATGCGATAACGAGGGCCCTAGTCCTAATATAAATATTTGGAATGTAATTTTGAAAACTATAATTACTGCACCAGTGTACCTGTCTCCTTATACATTGCGAACGAGAAAGATAATTCAAGTACTTTTCTAACTAATTGTTAATCAAGTCCACAAAAACTCAATACGTTACAATTAAACATAATCTAAAAATGATTTAGTGGTAATCAATATCGATATAGGTAGGCCTCTTAAATGATAAACTGACAAATTTAATGTTAAATCGATAAATCTTAATCCCTTACCTTACAATTTAATCTGCGTGCCATAATGAACAGCACACTCGGTCACACGTAAAACCACTTCGTCCGAACGCGACGAAGAATAACACGTAACTGACAAGTCTCAACGTGTTTCGACAGAAAAACATCGACGACTCTAAACGGTCACACGTGAAATTTCGACCGAACGTGGCGAAGAATAACACGCAACTGAGACAAGGAAATATCAGCGAAAATTAACTAAGAGCCTGACCCGCGATGTTTACATTAAATCCTAGCAGACCACGACTCTTACTCGAGATACTCGTGTTTGACTCGATCTTTTCACCACGAGTCTCACCCGTGATACTCGTGTTGGGCTCGATGATATCCTTACCACGAGTCTCACGCGATACTATTGGCGAAGGAATCAAACTACTTCTGTTCAATATAAAGATTCATTCAAGTAACATTAATGTTTAATACGATCTACACAATCAGTATCGTAAAAACAGTAACATCAAGTTCAAAAGTAACCTAATCATTCTAATCAGTATCACCACAATTACACGATTTGATCACAGACTTCCCTTTGCCTTCATCTGGATTATTACTCACCATAGAAAAAACCTCAGCCACAATCAAGTAATAATTCAAAACCTACCCTAAAATATGCGACATGCACATCAGTAGAACCATCCAATTCGCCAAAAAGAACGGGTAAGTATGCGTGTAAGATATACCTCGTTTATCAGCCTAGTTCGTGCGACAGGCCCTCTCACGGCGTTATCATGAAATATTTCGTGACCTGAATTCGGCATTGCACGAGACCTGCTCACCACCCTATCAGCCATTCTAACGGTTAACCGTGTTGCGTGAGTAGCAGCCGTGTGGTGCGTGCGTCGAAACAATACGTGCAACGCGATCACGCGTGCGGATAAAAAAAGAAAGAGAGAAATAAAGACGTCCAGCGATCCACGACCCGGTTGCTCTCGATCGCCGCTCAGAAGTGGTCGTCTGAAAGATTGCGCGTTATCGTCAGCCAATCGGGTGATTACATACTCCTCACCTCCCACCACCGTGTTCGATTCCGCGGCGCGATAGGGACGTGCAATCATTGCAATCTGCGCGATCCTGATAGTACACGTGGCTTGTTTGCAGCTCGATCGCTGATTCACTTGGCTCGAGTTCACACACGAGTTTTCGTACTGGATGTAGATTCTTACTCTTGATCGATATAATATGGTCGTTGACTTTTATTTTTAGGAGACTGCTGTGGGGCTGGATTTTTCTGTATGGAATATACGTTGGATTATTGTTCGATATTTTTAAGATTAGGTTGGAAGATTATTGTGGAGGAATTGGAATTTACAACTTATAGTTTCTACGTTTCGGGTTTTGTAAATATATGCATTAAATACTGGTTGGTGAAAATGTTATCAGAGAACGATATAAATATAACGTTTATCGGGATCGACTCTGCGTTATGGTTTATTTTTGTATTACGTATTCATCGGGGCAGGGGAAATGTTAAAAGTAGATAGCAGTATGTTACTCACTAAATGAATTGGGATGCAAAGCATTAATACTTCATGCGTAGTCGTAAACAAAATTTCATTCATCTAAAAGTTCATTCGTTGAATACTAATGAAATAATCTGCCTGTCGACTATATAATGTCCGAGCGTTTGAGTAATAGTTCCATCCTATTTATCTTCGATCGTTTCTGTAATAATAGATAGCAATTTTTAGCATCATACAAGATAATTCGATTATTTGGAAGAAACCACGAGCTGAAGATACACTCTAATTCGGGTTACTACGATCCTCCTTCACGTTCTGTCGATCAATACATGTCCTGGGGATGCCTGTCATGTCGGATTCCTGTCGTACTTCTGACAGAGTCAACGTGCTCGTTCGAAGATAATGACTTCATATACTACTCGAGCACATTTAACAAGAAATACATCTAAAGGAATAGATCTAAAAATCGAACAAAGGGAAAAATATAAAACAAGGATCATGTCGGAATAATCGAATAATTTCTAAATTAATTCAATTTTAAAAATCGAAATTACACGAATTTACGAAAGTTTCGCGAAATAAAGCGGAAAGTTTCACAAATCTGTGGAAGATTCAACGGCTTCAGGAAATTATGAAAGTAGACACGGGTCAAACAAATGTTCTTTCGCCCAGCGATAATTTGCAGCACGGGAACCGAGAGTCAACCAAACTTTTCTAACAGTTTCTAAAACACACCAGGGCCGCTTTGGCCATGACACACATAAGAACCAGCCTTTCGCATCCTCTCTTGAAAAAACATCCAACGGTCTATACCCATAATTCATTCAAAGCCTCTTGCGTTTTATCTTCCACGAGAATTCGACCTTTTCCCCGTATCTAAACGGAAAAAACGGAATTTGCTACATCACGAAGGCATGATTATCAAGAACTTTTTAATTTACCCTTGATTCGTGACACTCCATTCGTGTCATAGCTAACGCGTAAATAACCTCGAAATTCCATTTTACTCTTCGTTGAACAAGTAGGCGAGAAATTCTATTCAATGGCTCGGTGTTGTGTAATAAGATACCCAGTTCGTAGCTGCATTAGAGGTTTCTCTTCGAAACTTAAATTGTTTAGATCTTGCGTCTTAAATATGATCCGAATATACGAATATCGTTGAACTGTACGACAACAATGTTAAGATAACCTGCAAGAAATAGCGTTAGATTATTAGAAATACGATTCACACTTTGGGAGTGAAAGAAAGATTATTCTTACGGTAACAGAGGATAAATAACGAGATAATACGTGATATATCTCTGATACAATTAATGAGAAACTGATATGACTGACACTGACGTCGAGAATCAAACGTCTGCACGATGTTTATCGTAACGATAGAACTTCGTTAGTTCACCGTGGAGGCCGCCATATGTCAGGCAATGATTTCGCGTCGCTGTTGCATTGTGCAATAATTTCCAGTCACTGGAGGTTATGTTCGGTTTCGAGGCTCGCGCGTTGCGAGAACCGAGAAGGACTAATCGTTTCTAAGAACCCGTGGCCTAAATCGGCTCGCGTTAGGTATTCTTAAACTTATCCCGATTCGAACATACGCGTGATACGCCAAACACGATATGTACATACAAACACCGAGGAGATCCTCGAGAACATAAAGAAATAACAAATCCCAATGAACGCTAACGAATTGTAAAATATGATTTAGAAAGTCACATTTTCTTAACCCTTTTACCTCGCCTCGCAGATTATGACTCAAATGTGAGAAACACGAGATACCACCGTGGTCAAGTTTTATTTTAACACTTTGCCGGATTTTAGGCAAACGATGCGCAATAGGATATTTTAAATTCAAATTCTGAAAAGCGTATAATAAGAAAAATGCTTTGAGAGTTATGTAACAATATACCATGTGGAATTTGTTTCCTGTTGGAGGTACACTTATTTAATTCTAACGACTCTCAATTTAATTACAGGGAAACTGAACGAGAAATACTATGGAAAATAATTCTCAGGTAATTACCTTTGGTAGAAAATATTTATATGCATATAACTACGTACATATTTTAATAACTAATTTTTATGAAATAAATAACAACCACAGGAGTAAATCTGAATAGATGAACAAAATATCAACAAGATATCCAATACCTGTATTACGAATTCACAGAACAAAGCACTGTTAAACTCAATTTGCACACGAAGCACCAGTCGTCCTTAGCTATTAAATAATTTTTCTTTCTCGAAGAAGAGAGGTTAAGACAGCTATCGGTATCCGAATAGAAACAAGTGCAAACATATCGCGCTTCCTAAATCTTTTCCTATTCCTTCTGGAAGAGGTAACACTTAAAACGGAATATTTATCTCTGGCAAGACGATTACCAAAATTATTCGAGTGATTAAACGTGAATCGTCAGCACTATATCGACAAAGAACAGTTTCGTGAATTAGTTCGTAGCGTTCCGTGAACAAGAAGGAGGGCGCTGTACGTCGCAGCGATTCTGCATAGGGAATTAATAGTCGGAAACGACGAATTAATGTTTCAGGAAGGCGCACACTCGGGGACGAAGTGTACTCGGAAATTTCCGGCGTGGTTGCGCGCGTGCACGTCTAGCTGAAACTTTTACGAGGCACGTGCGCGAAATTGCAGTCAACTCGAGGTAAAAGCGGCGCTGGAAGGACAGAGGGAAGAGGGCGCCGCCAAGTGGATGCGGTCGTGGTGCATCGATTTGAACGGACGGCGGGAACGGTTTCTGGCCTGTTCATTTATAATTCAACGACGCGGCTTGCAGAGTCCTTTGGAACAGGGGACGCGTGCGACTTTTGCGTTGTAACGAGAGAAATACGACGATGGCGGAAGAAGTCAGTGTCTTAACCTTGCACTGCGATTTAATCACGAAAAAGTGGTATTTATAAAATATTTTAATTATGGCCGCGTGATTAGTGTAGCTAACCGTGAAATTTGACATGGAGGACTCGCCATTTTACTACAAAGAGCTAATACGTTCTCCGCATTAGCTTTCCAGCAAAAGTTCGTAATTCCGTCAAGGTAAACGAGCTTAACACGATTTATTTTATCGAAAAAATCGTAAAATTGTTTAAATTAATTTTTTAATCTTGGAAATACGTAATCTTGGTAATGTCAATATATTCGCGATCGTTGATGTGATTTCAGTGACGTCATTTATGATGCTCTTCCTTGTTGCCGCTGACGTGGGTTCACGTCATGGCAAATTCTGTCTCTGGTTACCGTTAACACGATTTCGGGGCACGGTTTCTTACAACCTTAATATTTTGACACTCGAGCATCGCAGAGCAGTCTGACAGTGATACATGTCCACACGTGGTTGGTATTTTATTCTTTTCTTCCTGCCTTTGCAAATTTTACACATCTTTGAAAAAATTTCTAATACAAATTTCTCACACAGGACCGTGGAATTTTTAATCATTTCTACGTGATGATCAATGTGACATAACCCTCTGTTTCGATCTTCAGTTTAACCCTTTGACTGCTAACTGCTAAGCTAAAATGCTTCGTGTGAGCGGCCTGCAGTAGCGATCGCTGAGGACTGAATACTTTTTCGCGCAATATGGACCTTGTCGACGGCGTATTAACATATTATAATATAGTACACTCCAAAACGGATCCAAACTTTTTTATTTTCGATATAAATTGTTTATTGGTAAGCAGCGAGTTTTGGACATATACGATAGAAATGATATCCGAATTTGCATTCATAGTCTACACCAATAGTTTTTGCTGGACGTATATAAGCGCGCATTGCAGTCAAAGGGTTAATGAAGTTAAATTATGGACACCAGTGAGAAGGTACCAAGTGAGAAGGTTACTCGTCATTTTTATCCCTATCAAAACAAGAGAAACACGTAAGAACCACCTTTTGAACCTTTATTGTTCAACAAAGCAAAAGATCATACAGTTAGATCGTGTTCTCGATCATTAAACGATCATTCGGTTAATTATTGCAGACCCAAACGGATGAATTGATTTGAACAAAAGGATCACGGTCCCGACCAACCAGTCTACTCTTCAGATTCTCGATGGAACATTTGAATGACACGAAATTAGATGGTTCACGGCCTGGAAAGGCCAGAGTAGGAAGGACGCGTAGAACGTTCGAAAATGGCGGGAGAAAGTCACTGCGTTCTTAGAAGAAAGACCCGAGGACTGACGTAATTCCCGTCACGCACGTTTTAAAAAGCCTGCAATCATCGGTCCGCCATCGAACCTTGAAACAAAACTAAGGAAGAAAACGGATCGGGGGGAAAAAACGCGATACTCCCGTCATGAGCTAAGATCCATCTAGCGAGAGAAATCTGAGGCAGCCCGGACGCGACGAATCGTTGGCTAGAAAGTGGCGAGCGTCTCTATATTCCGAGGGACTCTAACGAAAAAAGAAAAGCCAGCTCCTAACGACAAAGTCAAAGCTAGCATAACTGTACATCTAATAGAATGGCTCAACAATCCCATGACCGTTCTATTTCCCCACGGTTCCGTTCATTCCGCTAGCCCATGCCTCGCGACAGTCCCAAACGTCGATTAGACGTTGCCCAGGTGGCTTACGAAACGAAAAAGGCCCTTTCTCTTTTCGCGCCCCGTCTTCTTCCGCTCGACACGGCCCAACGCGCCGCTACCTTTCTCCTCGTCGTCTTTTCTCCAACACGAAAGAGGAAAGCGCGGCTGCTCGAGCACGGATAATGTCACTAACCGTTGCATTAGCTGACGGTTCGCTTCTTTCTTTACCGTCGCGGCTGTCCGCTCGTCTAGCAGCGAGTAAAAATGGTTAAAGCCTGATCCGCGACATCGAACCATCTCCCGGTGATTACCTGGCCTCGCGTGTGTAGTATGCCCGTGTACGTAGACGTCTCGCCACCCTATGTGATCAGCTACAGCCTGTTTTACGTCGTGACGGTCGTGTCCGTGGCGTCATACGCCCGGTGATTTGCTCGCCGGAGCAAAAGATGTTCCCAGTGGCTGCACCGTCGCCTGCATCCTCTTTGTACACTTTGTTCACACCGTGAAGGTGTGAAGGCGAGGCAATGGGCGCCGTCCTAAGGTAGAGCGTGTGCCGTCCCTGGGTGGGCGTAAATCCTGCCTAACAACGTCGTCGTCGTTGTCTTTGTCGTTGTTCTTCTCTTTTTGCGCGCTAGAGCGCACCTTTCCACGGGGAATCGCTCGGTGTCCGTGGTAAAAAGTATCGAGATAGATGGAGAGTGAAGGAGAGCGAAGGAGAGCGGGAAGGGAGCGAATTTTCGAGGACGACCGTGCGGTATCGAGGGCCGAGTCGATTAGGCATCCGGACACACACCTAGACGCCGGCGTCGCGGTGACATTTAAGAGCCACTGCTGTGCTCTCCGAAAATAATTTCTCAGCCTTCCAGTCGGTGATCCAGGGGCGCGAGAAGGTTCCATCGAGCGGACTACCTTCGACGGAGTCGAAGGCCCTCGAGTTCTCTCAGAGGATCGAAGATGATTGATTCTACAATTTTCTTTGTGGGCCTTTTGGAGGTTAGAGTGATGGAAATGAATAAAGAAACTGGTCTATGGCTTTTTAAAGAATTATTCGCCTATTTATCATTCAAAAAACTGTTGTCTGGGTGCTCCAGAGTTCGATAGTGTCATAGATGGAGTCGAAGGTCCTCGAGTTCTCTCAGAGGATCGAAGATAATTGATTCTCTAAATCTTCTTTGTGGGTCTTTTGGAGGTTAGAGTGATGGAAATGAAGAAAGAAACTAGTCTATGGCTTTTTAAAGCATTATTCGTCTATTTTTAATTTGGAAAATTGTTGTTTGGGTGTTCCCCGATAGTCAGTTCGATAATGTGATTACAGATGGAGTCGAAGGCCCTCGAGTTCCTTCAGAAGACCAGAGATGGTTGATGATTCCGATTTTCTTTGTGGGTTTTTTGGAGGTTAATATGACAGAAATTAAGGAGGACACTGGACTATTGGTTTATTCGTCAATTTTTCATTTTGGAAATTGTTCGGATGTTCCAAAGTTCGATATACAGAGTCTAACTTAATGAAAAGATCAGCAAGTGTATGATGAATGAATTTACAATTTTTCTTAAAATGTAATACTAGATGAACTTTTCGAAACGCGAATAAAACTGCGACGATATTATTCGGTTTTCCAATATTAACCCTTCAAAGATGGCGCATGATGCCTGATATCTTCCTACGTGATTGATACTTTGCATAATATAGGTTCCCAGGTTAAGTCAAGATCGAATCAAACTTTCGTACATTTTTTAAACCTATCTAAATTCCTTGATAAATTAAGCAATAAACTTTCCCCAATCTTGTGGCAGACTTAAATCTCATCTACGAGCGAAGCCAAACCTAACCTGAAAAACTTAGAACAGTAAATCTCAGAACCGTGTACTAGACGCTTCTATCCTGCTCCGATATTTAAAAAAATTCAAAATTCCGTCAAATTAACCTAGGAAATATAGCAAGATGCCGAAACGAGGCGAACAATGGGGAAACAAACGAAGAAAATATTGTACAATACAAATGAACACTGAAACGGATAAACGGCTATGCGAAATATGGGAAAACGGAGCGAGCCCCGTGAAATCTTCCTGATCCACGAATCGTGGCTTACATTTCAAGGATGCTTCGAGATTGCATTTCGTTACCCGAACCTTCGTCCGTAGTGTCTCGTAAGAGGAGAACGGTGAGGCCAATGGAAAGGGAAGTGACGAGTTGCAACATCAAGAAAGCTTCACGTGCAACCGATGATGCAACGATTAGCCGTGCATTTTGTAACATTAGATGTGGAAGGTCTTGCCTTCTGGCGACGCATTGGCCCACATACAAGGTTTCGCCTTTAAGCGACATCCGGGCTGGTGTTCGCGATCACCTAATTGCTCCTAATCTTCGTGTTTTAACCTTTTTTAACGCAAGAACTACCAACCCAGTTAAAATGACTGGTTCCAGAATTTTCCTTTCTGCAACCACCGAACACATACACCTGCTTTAAGAATAAAATTGGTATCAACTCATATTAAGAAAGAACTGTAATCAATATATTCACTCGTATTCATCGTATCGCTGAAATGACTATAATCTGTGCACGTTATAGTTAGGTACCCATTAAAGATCGGTAGATCGGTAGAAATGTGCACAGTGTGCATGGTTTCTGTATACACGTTTTCCTAAGTGTTAAATAACAACTGTGTCGAATAAAACAACTATATACAAATGGCACTTGTATACGCATCATTTGGTGCCGAATATATGGGGTGCCCGTACCCAGGAGTCGTCGTGAGGACGCCACCTATATGCGACGCATATTCCTTTGCGGACCAGAGCCACATATATGCGTTTTGCGGAAGCCATCAGTTTGGCCGAGGAACGCATATATGTATTCGACGAAAACAACCGATAGGACTGAGAGACGCATAAATGTGTTCCACGTAAACACATTGCTATGGCCGAGAAACACAAATATGCTCCTACTGTTGCGGACCTAGGATCCTCGCGTCCCAAGTTAAGTGACGGACTGTTTTATGTCCTTATTGTCAGCGTCGCTGTGATAGAAAATCGCGTTTAAGCAGAAATGAGTGCTGGTAGTTTTGAATGACTATCGCGGCAGTGGCTCCAGCCCCATGGTACAGTTTACTCGAAACCGCTCCGTTCGCAAAGCCTATATGCGGCGTTCGTGCCCACTGGGCATCTCGAAGCGAAAGGCTCAATTTTTCGTTCGCGATTCGATAACGAGCATCTGATCGAGATGTCGACTTTGGAAACCGAATTTTTAAGATGGCTACACGAGATTTTTCACTTGCGAGTAAAGAAGCACGAGGCTGGTTCGCGTAATCGTTTACACACGCGTGTTCGCGCCGACGATGAATCGAAAGACACGTGGTGCGTTCAAGGAAAGTTTGGTAAACTTTTGTAGTCGATGATGCTCAGGCAGTAATTTAAACTTACACGCGGTCTGTTACGTTATGTACTCGTTCATAGAGACCAGGCTTAAGGCTGGACTAAAATTTTATAAATGGGAATTAACGATATTCTAAATGCACTGTGCTCCGTGAACATGCATTGGAAGCTTGGCTAAAATTTTGTAAAATTTATATTTCAATTAGTATATATTATTATGTCCTTTTTCACGAGTGACGTAATTTTTTAAGTGATTATACTTTATATTTATTTTTTAAACGAAACGCCATTCTTTAAGTTCGTTGAAAATTAGTAACATGCTTGCTTGTCGATATTCTAATTGTAATTTGGCATGCAAGTGAATGTTGTACGCGATCGAACATATTAGTGATGTGATACTTGGAGAGTATCATGTGTGAATGATAAATAAAATCGGACTCACCATCTGGAGTGGAGACAGTGCCAGCCTTGTTGATCTTCGTATTCCACATAGCGGGGGTTGTCGGTGCAGGACTGAGATCAGGAGTCGGTGGATGAGCGGGTGGCAGGGGTACTATGGCGTGACCAACTTGCCCTCCGTGCTGCATGTGATCCGAATTCGAACCGTAATGACCGCCATCGAACCCCCTTCCCCCGGAATAAACCTCGCCTGACAATCTTTCCGCCAATTTCTCTGCTCTCTCTCGATCGGTCATCGCTACTGGCTCTTGCTTTATTCGAAGATCTGCGAACAAATGCGAAGTTCATATAAATATATTATACTCATATAACATCCGAATCTTAAAATATAATTCTTCTCGACTCGAACAATTTGGAGGTAAAATGGAATTCGATATATCAACCCTCTCGCGAATATATGTCGGCAATATTGTACTAACAATATGACACACGTAGTAAGAAGAAAATTCCAAGGGTACATCGGAAATATTAAAAAATAATGCAACGATATTTATCGGAGATATGGACAGTGGTGGCGCTAGTGAGTTAAGTGGACACTAAAACGCTTACTCGTGAAAGGGTTAGGGAATCGAAATGAAATTTGATGAAATCTTTTAAATGAAATAAAAATATTGTATATATATATGTAAGGTTGAGGGTGGTATCTCACATACATAGGATTGACAGATATACGTTCTCTCACAAGGCAACATTGATGATGATTAATTATATGATTATTATATGTTTCAAAGATAAAGATATAAACGAGTAAGTTAAGACTAACTCTATTTGCTAACACTCTTTGATACTAATATGATATTGTCACGCTGACAATTCACTGACCTCTGACAATTCTCTGATACTCTCACTACGACTTTGACTACTCACAACTACTGTCTATATTCTCTCTTACCACACTCTCTCCCTTACTACCTCGCCCACATTTTTGCACTCTGTCCTCAATCACGCATTTCCCAAGCATCTTCGGTGAGCCAGGTACACCAAGTCCTCAGGACTCATTGCTCGCACTCGACTCTATCATAAATATCCCTCACCAATCGATCCTCTCCTCGCTCGTTCTACGTCCCAAACACTCTCAACATTCTCTCCGAGCCGCGCTCGTTCCATTTCTACATATATGCACAGAAATAATTGTATATACACGTGGATGTTTCAGAGATGTACGTAGACCTACCTTCGGCTACGCTTTCCTTGAGATCGCAGTTGCTACGTTCCTCGGACCTCGCTCGTTCCAATTCCTGTTCCAATTCCGTCGGTGTGTGTGGTGCGGTGTGAGGATGTGCGGGCGTTTCTGAAGGCTGGATGAACGGCTGGTAGTAGTGGTTCTCCAAGAGAAGCGGTTGCGGCGCCGATGCAGGCCGGAAGGAAGTGCCATCGCGCAACACGCTCGCCCTTCCCAGAGTATCTATGTCGCTGGGCGATCTAAAAATAGGCCCAAAAACAAGTTTCATATCGCGTGAAAATTTGCTCGATAACATTGGGAAATTTTATATAATAAGCACAGGTTATCACAGGAATTCAGCCGACTTAGTAGACGCGTGGTAACTATATTTGACTCCTAAACTCCGTCAACTATATTACATGCACAGCTGATTATTTAGAGGAGTATAGAAGTAGATTTATACTAAACTGTCTTATATACATATATCTTCCCTGTAATTCTATTATTATTCCACACATTAGTACAATATGAGTCGCTCATTGCACAAATTGGTTCGCCAAATTTCATTCTGGTGATTTTTCACTGAAAAATGCGCAACAATCTGGCCGTCCAGTTGAAGTCGACGAGACCCATATCAAGGCCATTATCGATTCAGATCGTCATAGCGCAACACGTGAGATCGCAGAGAAGCTCAATGTATCGCATGCAAGCATTAAAAAAAAATTAAAACGGCTTGGCTGTGTCACGAAACTCGATCAGCTTAAGGAAATTCAATTGACGCAACGCATTAGCATTTTGACGCAACGCATTAGCATCTGCGATTCGCTTCTGAAACGCAACGAAATTGATCGATTTCTGAAACGACTGATAACTGGCGACGAAAAGTGGATAGTTTATAACAACGTTAATCGGAAAAGATCGTGGGTGATGCAAGATGAACCAGCCCAGACGACACCAAAATCTGAGATTCGCTAAAAAATCTTGTATTTTCCTTCTTATTTCAAATCCGCGATCACTTAGTTCCCAGCGTAATATAACGATAGTTATTTCTTTCTACCCATGATCCCAATACCAAAACAGTCGGAGAGCCGCAGGAAGGTCGCGGTGGTTTGAAAATTTCATACGGTAGAAGGGCTTACCTCATCAGCCTTTTCTGCGGGCTTTCGTAATAGTGAGAGGAAGTGGAGTAGAGGCTGGGCACGGTGTAGGCAGGGGCGGGCGACGGTGCCGGTGTGGGGGTCCTCTTCATGGTGTTTCTCACCATGGTTGCTTCACCCGCCTCGCTCATGTCGCTCAGCTCGCCGACGCCGCCGCCGACGCCGCCGATCACGCCGCCCACGCTGCCGCTCACGCTACCACCGACGTTTCCGCTCGCGTTGCCGCTTCCGTTGTCACCGCTGCCGCTGCTGCCGCCGCCGCTCCCGCCGCTCCCGCCGCCGCCGGCGTCGGTCGACGAGTTACTGTTCTCCGCGGCGCGACGCTGCGCTACTGCCAGCTTCTCGTGCTCGATGGACAGGCCCTTTACCTGCAAATCGCGGGGAATCGCGGTTTAAATCACCAAGGATTACGCAAATCCTCTTCTGACGGACAGCGTCGAATATTGAAATGCACGAGTGCCGCGGTGCTCGCTTAATTGTCGCACGGTTCACCCGACTAGCTGTCGCCTTTGTCCTGCGATTTAAGGATAGCGGGTGCCATGATCGACGGCGAAGTCGATCGCACGTGGCAATCTTGTCCGAACACGTCGAAGAATAACACGTAACTGGCACGGAAAGACACCGGTGAAAATTAGCCGCGAGCCTGGACGTTTGTTTACGTCGGAGACCCTATCTACAGAGCACACCGCTAGACTCTGATGCTTACGTTTGTTCCAGTTGCTTCCACGAGTATCGCGCTATGTCGTAGGCAAAGGTGTTAAATTTTCGCACGCATGCCCGATTAATTGTCGCACGCTTACCCGTTTAATTATCGCACGCTTACCCGTTTAATTGTCGCGCGTATGCCCGCTTAACTGTCGCACGCTTGCCCGTTTAATTGTCACACGCTTACCCGCTTAACTGTCGCACGCCTGCCCGCTTAGGTGTCGCGCGATTTTTGCCAATTTTTGCCCGCTTAACCGTCGCGAGTCTGTCCTCGCCGATTCATGGAACCGAACGATCATTGACACGCAGCCCCGTCGTTCCGTTCTCTCGCGTCGGCGTCTCAGAACAGGAACTCCTGACCATTAATCGCGGCCAAAAATAAAAAGATGTTCCCGAAAGTATGCAAGGTACGCGCCCGGAACACGTGACTGTTATTTAGGGCAATTATTTGAAAGGAGATGAAATGGAGTCGCATACTTGTAGGCATTCGGCTGCTTTGAGGAAAGAGCTGAGGGATTCCTGGGACACGTGTACCTCTCCACGGTACATGAATTCGAGAAGGGACGCCATATTGTGGGCACTCGTCCCGTCGAGAATAACGATCAGTCCCGCGGGAGAAAGAGGCATTCCTTCGAAGAGTTCTTGAAAGTGCTTGCTGCATGCTGCGAGGATTAACCTGTGTGCCTTGAACGTTACTCCTGGAACACAAGCGAGAATGCAGGTTCGTTAGACGACTCGGAAATATTTCAACATGGCGCGTTACCAGCATTCGTGCAAGCCAGTTTAACACTAGAACTATACCGATCTTCAATGACTACATAGCTGGCATGGATAATAATAATTTCAGGGGTAGATTGAAGATTACTTTTTGCTCCTGTCAAAATTGTCGATACTTCATTCGATAAAATTATATATATTTCATAGTAAGTGTGGAAACTCTGGTGTAAGTCGGTGTCACGTTAAATTTATAATACAGGGTGTCCCAAAAAAATGTATGCACACTTTGCGTGATTATAAAAGCAGTTTTTATTTTTTCCTTACGCTTGTTATTATTACGTTCATGCGAAAGACTGATTTTTTTATTACGTTCTTCAAAGTCTAGTCTAAAACCAGCCATTATTTTAAATGGGTTGTACCTAGGAAAGAAATAATAAATTAGAAAGAATAAGGTATTTAAGTGTGTATACGTTCTTTTGGGACACCCTGTATGTATATTTATCTATTATTTAATAATAAGTGTGGAAACTCTGGTGTAATTCAGTGTCACGTTAAATTTATAGTAATCATATTATGATCATGAGTATATACAAAAATATGGAAATACTTTGTTTGGAAAAAAGAATATACATATATATACAATATGATATCTATATGTATATTACACATCGAATTAATTAATACTTTATTTAATAAACGTTTATTCATAATTATCTCATATTACGATTATATTATATACGAATATGCACAAAATATATTATAATATAATATACAACGTCATATAACACGTGTATAATAATTAAATATACACAAGAAACATTGAAATTATATTTTGTTTCAACCAAAATAGTCAATACTTTATTCGATATACATATGTATGCATATATTTATTTATTATTTAATAATAAGCGTGGAAACTCTGGTCTAATATATATATAATCATATTATGATCATGAATATATACAAAAATATGAAAATACTTTGCTTGCAAAAAGGAATATATATATACATACGATATATGTATGCGATATTTATATATACGATAATATATAAAATTACAATTAATATTATAATACACAATTTATATTACAATATAATATATAACATGATATAACGCGTGTATAATAATTAAATATGCACAAGAAACATTGAAATTATATTTTGTTTCAACTAAAATAGTCAATACTTTATTCGATAAACATATGTATGCATATATTTATTTATTATTTAATAATAAGCGTGGAAACTCTGGTCTAATATATATATAATCATATTATGATCATGAATATATACAAAAATATGGAAATACTTTGCTTGCAATCCCCCCCCCCCCCCCGTCCCCCCCCCCCAAACCCCCCAAAACCTTCCGAGCCACTGCGAAAGCTAAACACACTGAAAAACTACGATCCCACACGGATAATACAAGAAAACCAGACAAGATAATACCGCGCTCGCAACAAAGGGCGGCCATTTTGCATTGGGTTGGATTACGCGCGTTTTCCAGGAACTATTCGACTTTCGTTAGCAGCCTGTGTCTATTCTAACCTTTTTTTCTCACGGCTTTCATAGAGTGGCCGGCGGGGACCGCGGGAATTTTGGCATGCAAAGGAAGTGGTGACTGTCGAACCCTTTTTTTCTTTTTTTCCTTCCACTCGCTCTCCATAAAGGAGCCGTGGAGCCAGCGCCAGCTTGACGTCGATGCCCTTTCTTGCAGTCCGCTGGCTATGTAGGCCATCCTCCGACACGATCTTCCGTAATTTACAATTCACGTGCGCAAGTGTAACGTGCGCGTAATACGATATCGGTGCGCGTCCAACGAATATGGCGCCGCATAGGTTGTACGACAAAATCCGTGAGGAACATACCTTTTGTCCGCGGGATCGCTGCTTCGGATGGGGTACGGTCTATGGGGGATTTTCAGAGGTCGCAGAAGAGACCGTTGAAAAGAAATCGTTGGTTTTTCTACTTTTTTTTTTTGTTCCATAGTAGTGGGAGCTTAGCCACGTGACATAATTTTTAAATTTTAAATTTCGCGGGGTTTGGAATTTCGACGAGAATTTGTCAGAATTTGGTTTCACTCGAGTGTCCAATTTTTGTGGATAAAGATATGGGATATGGGATATTCGAAAATTTTATTTATGGTATAGTTGTGGAGTATCTATAGTGTAAAGTAGTATAGGAGAGTACAGAGTACTGGTACTGGTAAGAAGTTCTTGGTCATTTCGATTATAGTTATTATTTCATTACTTTGTTCTCGATTATGAACAAAGGTTTGAATTATTATTATTTTTCCTTTTTGGTTTTACTTTGTTTTAAACTGATTCACATCTAGGAAATTACAGCAATTTTAGAGAATTTCGCGTTACAGGGTTTGACTGGAAATTTTTTGCAATGGGTAGTAGCACAAAATAATAGAGAATGGTCTAGTGTATTATAGAATAATAAAATGTAGTAAAAAATATTATAGTATAGTAATGAATAATAATAAATAGTCGAAAACAGTATAGAATACTATAGAGTGGCCACTGAAAAGCTAAATGATATTTTTCTATGGTTTTCTAATTTTTTATTATTTCTTTTGGAAATATAATTAATAGATTTTTCTTTTCTTTAATCTCCAAGAAATACTCTACTCTATAATCTACAGAAAATAGAATACCAATAATTTTTCACTGGTTATATCCCTCACTTTTTCACAGGCCTCCCTGTATAAAATAATATAGAACATTTTAGTATATCATGGAATACTAAATATCGTTACAAAATACTGTAAAACAGCACAGAATTTAGATACAAAAGTCGTAACGATATGGAATACACTTCTCCAAATTGGAACTCGACTATCCAGTTACCATGAAGTTCAATTTCCAAATTTGATTTTGAAGAACATTAAATAAAACGCGAGGTATAGTCAATAATTATCAACAATGTGTCATTAGCCGTGTACTGTCATTAAACCTGTTCCTGATAGAAGCACCTGACGAGCTTCAACGGAAAGCTTGCCACCGGACGAAGCATGTTATCCACGAACCATGGAAGATGAGATGAGGCACAACGACACGATATCCTACGGAATAAGGGAATCAAGATGGAAAAAAGAGACACGCGAGAACGGCCGGCCAGGTGGCCGAAACCACCTGCCTTTCGGAATGGCTCGCCTAACTAAAGCGTATCGAGTTCTTCCAGGCTCCTTGACATTCGAAGATTCGTCGAAAAAACGAGCAAACTACGAACCCTTTCGGCAACCAACCCTTCCACTCCGCGCGTGTGCACGAGTGTAAAAGATTTTCAAACTTTTATACGACTATGCGCGATTTCGCTCGATCATTTACTTTCGTTTACGTTCGTGGATTACGTTTACGTTCATCGGGATTATAAATGGGGAATTTATTTTGGAATTTCTTGTACGACGAGGGTCGAGAAGATTCCCATGCTTGATGCAATGTGGCGATTCGTAAACTCTAGGACCACGTGTGTAACAAAGTTATGGGAATTAGAAGGATAGGGGAAAATAGAGTCTCTTGGATTTGGAAGAATTATTAAGGTTAATTTTGGCACAGTTATAGGGGTTATTAAGAAATTCTATAATTTATTAATTAATAATTTTATATAATTAAGAATTATTGATAATTATATAATTAATAATTCTATAATTTCTTAATACAAATTGTGTAAATTCTATTTTATCTAAAAGAAGAGGAATTGTAATAAAATGTTGCGACAAATATATCTATAAATATCACAATCTTTTTCTTGTGACTTAATTTAATTAATTTAATTTAATGAAATTTAATTTAAATTAAATTAAGTCACAAAATTCCTACATAATAGCACGAACTATTATAATTTTTATCTACAGAAAATATATGGTAATAAAAAGTTGTCATAAATGCATCTACAATTATCACAATCTTGTTGTGACTTCATTCAATTTAATTAAATTCAAATTTAAATTATATTATATTAAATTAAGTCACAAGATTGCTAACAGAACAGCACGAACTATTATCATTTTCATCTAAAGAAAATATATAATAATAAAAAGTTGTCATAAATACATCTACAATTATCACAATCGTCTTATTCAATATTTTTCTTGTGACTTCATTCAATTTAATTAAATTAAATTACAATATTTCTCCCATAATAATACGAACTATTATAATTTTTATCTAAAGAAAAAATATCGTAATAAAAAGTTGTCACAAATGCATCTACAATTATCACAATCGTCCTATTCAATATTCTTCTCATGACTTCATTCAATTTAATTAAATTCAAATTTAAATTATATTATATTAAATTAAGTCACAAGATTGCTAACAGAACAGCACGAACTATTATAATTTTCATCTAAAGAAAATATATAATAATAAAAAGTTGTCATAAATGCATCTACAATTATCACAATCTTGTTGTGACTTCATTCAATTTTATTAAATTTAAATTTAAATTAAATTAAATTAAACTAAGTTACAAAATTCCTCCCATAATAACACGAACTATTATAATTTTTATCTAAAGAAAAAATATCGTAATAAAAAGTTGTCACAAATGCATTTATAATTATCACAATTTTCTTATTCAATATTCTTCTTATGACTTCATTCAATTTAATTAAATTAAATTACAAGATTTCTCCCATAATAATACGAATTATTATAATTTTTATCTAAAGAAAAAATATCGTAACAAAAAGTTGTCACAAATGTATCTACAATTATCACAATCTTCTTATCCAATATTCTTCTTGTGACTTCATTCAATTTAATTAAATTTAAATTAAACTAAGTCACAAGATTCCTCTTATAATAACACAGACTGTCACAAACGTATCTACAATCATCACAAAATCTTCTTCCACTTCTTCTTCTTCTAAAAAAATAATAATAAAAATAAAAAAAGCAATAAAAATAATCTCCACAAAACCCATTAATTCAAAAACGAGGATAATACTTTCATTTTCAACTTGGACGATAAC